ATTCACTTCCTTTCACTTCAATATATTGAGTAATACAAAGTGATTTAATACTTAGAAAGTAAGAAATATATACAGAGTGTCCTAGATTTCCTACAACCATTATTAACATTCTCATTTTAAGATAAAAATCCTAATATTAAAAAATGTCAAGATTCTACAATAGTTTTTAATGGGAAATGATTCACATATATTATTTAAAAATTATCTATACGTATGTTTAGACTTAATCTATCACATAATCGAAGATATATGAAATGCATTGTGCATTGTGCATTGTGATTTTTATACTTTTGTTACTACGTAATGTGCCTGAGCGCGCAAATTTCAAATAATTTAATTAATCACAATTTTAAGCACTTCTTAAATTAAAAAATATAACTTCGATTGTTGGTGTAAAGTTTTTATCTTAAAATAAAGTTTTTGTCTTCAAAAGTCTACCAGTCTCAAAAATTATTAGACACTCTGTACAATAAATTAATAATAATAATAATAATAATAAATGAAAAGTATATAACATAAGATGTATATTAATTTGAGATCTTGACACAAAATAATTTACTGGTATTCTTTCTGGTATAAAATAATGTTTCTTTTTAGAAAATTTGAGTCTTCTTGTTATTCTGCAAATAAAAATATTAACAAGGAAACCTCGCAATTACAAAAATTCAGATTTTGATTAAATCTTGCACATATGTAGAGAAGGAGGGTGGGAGGTAAATAACTGAATTTAGAAATTATCACTTGGTGTTAAAAAACGATTTTGAAAAATAAATCCATTTTTTATATTTATACAGAGTGATTCTCGACTTTTTTCGAAACTATTCAAGATCAAAAAATATTTTATTTACCCCATTTATATTTATATAATAATATTTTCATCAAAATAAAAATTTTTAGATTGATGAGACTTTATCAGTTTAATTCCTTTAATCTATATAATCCAATGTAAAATTGTTTCATTTCAACTCATCAAAATCAATTATTAATTTTATTTTAATCAGATTTAATTCGGTTATGCTTTTATATTCGTAATCGAAGTTATAACATTGATCAAATGTGTTTTTTCTTCTAATTTCATATCAGCGTTCCCTGAATGTGGAAATCTATTTAATTTGAAATTGTAATGCCATGACTTTTGCATTGTAGTGTTGCATTGATAATTATAACGAATACATCGGAATATATCTCTCGCAAACCATTCATTATTTTATTCTTATGCTTATGTATAAGATGATAAGAATTAGTTTATATAAGAACGAAACATATAGTTTTTGTATTAAAAAAATAGAGGCTATCCCCTAATGAACTTAGCGATTCCATCATTTTATGAAAATCTTTAAAAAAAAAAATTTTTATGATGAAATCTCTCATCCTTCTGAGAATAGCTTCTGAGAAAACAACATACAACACTTAACGTATCCGACTCTGTGTAATTGCATTTACTTATGCATGCATATTTCCGATTGCGCATGAGTGAAAACGTGAAAACGTTTCAATTTTTTTCTTGGATAGGAAAATTTTTGCCACGAAGTGTCCTCTATTTAATATTCATATTTCTGCAGAATGTCACGAGGATGTCGTAAAGATTGTCAATATGTGCGCACGCTACGGAACTGTCTGCATACCTTTTGGTGGTGGAACTAGTGTCAGCCGCGCGGCATGTTGTCCCCCGGATGAACGCCGAACGATAATTTCATTAGACACGTCGCAAATGAATCGGATATTGTGGATAGATAGGGACAATTTGTTGATATGCTGCGAATCAGGCATCATTGGCCAGGATCTGGAGCGGATGCTTCGCCCCCAAGGATTCACGTGTGGCCATGAGCCCGATTCTTACGAGTTCTCCAGGTACGCGAAGTTTAATTAGAATATACGCAAATACACGTAAACTCGAACCTCTCGGTACAAGTACACGGATGGGGGGGGGGGAGGGGAGGGGGTGCCGAAATTCTAGGTACATCGAGAGAGATACATTGCGTTACGGTAATGATAATGTCCTACCTTTGATAAAATGAAATTTGATTAATTTTTTTTTTTTTTTTTATTTTAAAGTATTTAAATTATAAGCTTTAATGCATATGACGCGTGCAATCTAGTTAATTTTTTTCATTATCATTAAGTTAATCTTTCGATAATAAAATTAGTACGTTATATAGGCTATTTTATATTATTTGCGTTCGATTAATGTAATGTGGAAATGATTTCTGCTCGATATAAATTTAATTAGGCTTTAGTTACTTTTTGGCGATTATTTGAATTCTTTTTAACATTTTAATTTATAAAATGAATTAAAATTTATGATTTCGTACAAAATTAATTTTATTTATCAAGATACATAATATGATTAAAGGTGGGGTCAAGGTGTAACAAACATTTTGAAAAGAGACAATACGAAACACATATTTAACCATAAAATTAATAAAAGATAATTGAAAAAAAGACTTTTTTACATTATATGCGATGAATAATAGTAAATTAGTAGCGTTTTGCAGCGTGTTAGATGTATAATGAACATTAGTAAACAGTTATAGCATATATATAACATAATTTTGTAATACATATGCGATAACTGATATATATATATATATATATATATATATATATATATATATATATATATATAATATAATATATATATAATAATAATGTATTTCTTGATTATGTTTCCGATAAAACTCAATATTGATTTTTCAACTTAGAGTGAGCTATATTACTGCTAAATGCAGTATGAAAAGCAAAATTAATTTTTTCTCTACTAAATCAGCTAAAAGCACGCACACGTACAATAAAGCATTAATTTTTTAAATATTAATATAAATATTATCGCATCAGAAAAACCTTGAAATCAATGATATTGTATTATTTTATGAATTTGTATATTTATATATTTCTATAATCCAGGGCTAGACCAAATTATTACAAAAATATCACAAACAAAACATTTGATTGTAAGATTCAAATTACAAAAAATATATGAATTCTTTTATCTAATGAACTTAAATATTATATTATAATATTATATATTATATTTTAAATATAACATGCCAGATGTATGTATAATTGCAACTGTGATTTCAAAGTACGTGAAGTGCGTGAATATTTGATATTCTTGAAAAATTATGTTAATAACAATATGTTATTAAAAACAATTGTAATGATAATAATTTTCTAACATATTTCGCACCAGCCGCGTACGCCTGGTAATTTAGCCCTGAATGATAGTATCTGAAAGCCGTTAGCTTCATGAAAGAAAATTTCGAATGCACGGAGGCTGAAAATAGCTTGTCTCGAATAGTTTAGGTGGATGGGTGGCGACTAGAGCAAGCGGCATGAAGAAGAACACGTACGGCAACATCGAAGATTTAGTCGTGCGGATGCGAATGGTCACCGGAAGAACGGAGGATCCTGTTATCACTTTGGAAAGAGGTAGTTTGGTACCTCGCGCGTCCTGCGGTCCGGATTTCGATCATGTGATTCTCGGCAGCGAGGGAACGCTGGGTGTCATCACCGATATTGTGTTGAAGATACGACCGTTGCCTCGAATTGTGAAATACGGCAGTATTGTGTTCCCGCATTTTCTGAGCGGCGTTCGTGCATTACGAGAGGTGCGTATCTTTCGTATTGACTTTTACATTACGTCAATCGGTAAAGACCATGGTTCTTTGTTAATACTTGCCCAACATAAATATTATGACGAAAGAAAGCCGAAAAATAATTATTAAATGTTCATTTTTATGGGCAGTAAAGAAGCACGATTCCTATTGTATAAAATCGACAGAAAAAAAAAAAAATATAATAATTCCATTATGATTGTACAGATTGCAAAGGAAAGATGTCAACCCGCCAGTATACGCTTAATGGACAATGAGCAGTTCCAAATGGGTCAAACTCTACGTCCGGAATCTAGTTGGGGCGGCTTGATTCTACAAGGATTGAAACATATCTACGTTACGAGAATAAAGGGTTTCCAATGGGATCAGATATGCGTGGCCACGCTATTAATGGAAGGTGACGTGGCGGCGGATGTCGCGACTCAGGAACGGAAAATTTATAAGATAGCTGATAAATACGGCGGCATACCAGCGGGCGAGGCGAATGGCGAACGTGGTTACATGTTGACGTTCGTGATAGCTTACATCCGTGATCTTGGACTCGAATTTAACGTATTAGCGGAATCATTCGAAACTTCTGTTCCTTGGAATCGTGCATTATCACTGTGCAGAAATGTAAAGTCTCGCGTAGCTAGAGACTGTAAGGCGCGCGGTATTCGTAAATATTTTATTTCCTGCCGTGTCACACAGACTTATGACGAGGGTTGTTGCGTGTACTTTTATTTGGCGATCAGTTACGCGGGCATAGAGAATCCTGTAGAGACTTACGAGGCCATCGAACACACGGCGCGAGAAGAGATACTTGCCAATGGTGGATCACTCTCCCATCATCACGGAGTGGGCAAGATACGAGCATCGTTTTATCCCGAAGCCGTTGGGGAGGCGGGTGTTTCCCTTTATCGAGCGACCAAGGCGCATCTGGATCCGCATAATATATTTGCAACGGGTAATATGATTTCAGAATATAAATCAAAATTGTAAATGAAATTGTGTCATGTGGGGTGTCATGCATTTGAAGTTGGGTATGCAATAACATCTGGGAGTTTATGCGACTGTTCCATACCTCGTTATTGCCGATGAATTATTGAGAAATTTAGTTATAACCGATTGATGCGATTTCGTATACTTTCGACTGAAAGTCACAATATTTCATCAACTGTCATTTAAATTTTAGATTATTTCATATGATGTTTTATAATGAAGAATTCAATTTTTCCGGGACATGCACATAGATAGCGAATACAAGGCAACTGGTATTGTTGTGTTTAACTCATTATGAAACGTTTCTGATGCGATATAGAATAAGAGGGACTAGTATACATTATAAATAATTATGCACCGTGACGTCGTTTGGTACAAATGGAATTGTAATTATATCGGCATTTTTATAAATTATTATATCTAAACAAAACACACGTTTACCTTATGTATAGATAATCTTAATTTACCTCTATTTACTATTCTATGGATTATTTGAGTTTTTAGGTACGATGATAATGTCATTTTCCTTATAGTTAAGACTTAACGACTTGTTCCATTGCGACAGAGCTAAGTTTGTTAACTCTTAATTAGATATGATTTTTATTACTATGTAAATTACGTAGTGATCATAGAGGTGTGCTATAACTATTAAATTGTACTGAATCAAGAGTTAACAATCAAGTCTGATCTCTGCAATGTTTTCATTCGATATCGTATGCTAATTTCGAGCTACGCGAAGAATATTTGCTGAGCTCTAACCTATATTCAATGATTTATCAAGGTACTGGTAAGCTTACTGGCTATCAGCCTTCAGAGTGGACAAAAATGAATCGAGATCGTATTCGTCGTCATATTGCTGCTGTTCCCAGAGTTCGGGCAGAATATCTAGCACAGAACGGCTAATTCCCGGTAGGCCAGAAAATTTTGACGAAGTAGCATCCTCATTGTGTTCCGGCCTCTTTTCCTTTCCGTCCAATGAAAATAGATCTAACAACTGGAAAAAAAAAAAATCGATTATACATTAGATGAGTTTTATCATCAAAATTTGATATCAAACATTAATTGTTTGATTACTTGATCAGTAGCCATGGTCTCTAAAGAAGCGTTTTCCGTCGTTATTATAGTATTCGCAGTGTGAAGCTTAAACTTCTGTAGTCCCATAATCTTCTCTTCTAATGTTGATCTGGTGATCAAACGATACACGTTGACTACTTTTTTCTGACCTATACGATGCGCACGATCCATCGCTTGAAGATCTTTCATGGGATTCCAATCGTGTTCAACGAATATGACAGTGTCCGCTCCTGTTAAGTTTAATCCAAGACCACCGACTTGCGTAGTCAACAAAAGGACATCTATCGATGGATCGGCATTGAAACGCGCTACAACGGAATGCCTTTGTGCTGCTGGTACACTGCCGTCCAGACGCAGATACGTTACTGTCGGCAGATGCGTGCGAAGCAAATCTTCTTCCACAATGTCTAACATTGCTTTCAATTGACAGAAAATCAGCGCACGATGCTGGCTTACTAATTGTTCCTGGGAATGGGCGTTTTCCCCACTCGTAGCATTGGAACAATTGCGAGTTTGTTGCTGCTGCTGTTGTCCGATACCACAATCTAATAGCAATTGTTTCAGTGCGAGTAATTTGGCACCATGTTCGATATCAGCCAAAGTGCTTTGTTGTTGTTTCAACATGTCACATATCTAGAAATATCACAAAAAAGTATATAGTGATAAGAATTTTATTACACAAGATTTCTAAAGCTACTAAATAATGGAAAAATCTGAAAAATCTGCGAAACAAAATTATATTTGTTTTATAAATATTGTTTCTGTTGAGTTATATTGTTCCTAAATATCTGTATTTTTTAATATATACCGTTCGATATAGTGGATGCCCTGGACTTAGAACCAATTTAGGATGATTGCACACATTACGTAAATATCGCAGTGCCTCAAATACGTGACTACTTTGAGGATCACTTGGAGCTGAGCTAGTAGTGAGAGACGGATGACGAATGCGGAAATCTTCGTAAAGTGTGCGTTGTAAATGCGACAAATCACAGTAATAATCTTGAGTGATTTTGGGTGGCAAATCTTGCAGCACATCTTCCTTGTTTCGTCTCAATAAGAAGGGTAGCACCTATAAATAGTTTCCATTGTGATTTAAAACCGAGATACTTTCGCGACGATGAGAAGACATGTTAACGCAAGTTACCTGTCTATGAAGAGCTTCCATAGCTAAAGCACCAGCTTCCTGTTCTTTCGGTCCTGCCTTCGGTTCTCTGCAGGCCAAGATGGGACGAGAATATCTGGCAGCGAATTGTTTCTCGCTACCTAGGAATCCTGGCATTAGAAAATCGAACAGAGACCACAACTCGAGCACGTCGTTCTGTACAGGTGTGCCAGATAATATGAGCCTGTGATTCGCATGCAGTCGCTTTGCAGCTTTAGCGCTCTTCGTTTTACCGTTTTTTATTACATGACCTTCATCGAGTACACAATAATTCCATTGATGTGTCTCGAAGAATTCAATATCCTTTCGTACAATATCATAACTCGCAACTACAAGCCTATGATGTGATACCCGAGAACGTAATTTCTCGCGATCTTGTGGGGTGCCAGCATATTGTATGACTGACAAATCTTGCGGTTTGAAAAATTTCTCGGCTTCGTATACCCAATGACCAGTGAGAGTCGGTGGACACACTACTAGACTGGCAGGTGCTTGTGGATTGCGATGATGGTCTAATGCGAGGATGCAAAGAGTCTGTAATGTCTTTCCAAGACCCATATCGTCACATAAAACTCCATGAAGATGATAACGATTTAGGAAATTGAGCCAATTCAAGCCCTGACGTTGATACGAACGTAACTGTGCAGCCACGGGAATCGGTAACTCTGTATCAGGGATATTACGAGGATTCAAAAGCCGATCCAAGAATTTTCTCTCTTGTGCCTTTTCTTGCCTAGAATATGATATTACGTAAAGATTATTCGTTCAAACTCAAGTGTCAACGAGTTTTTGATAATATGTGCAATTGATGATGGAACGATATATTTTATCGGAATTTAAAATGTAATTGATAATTAATTTTTATATTATTTTTGATTCATAGAGTGATTATAAACTTATAAATACTTTTCAAGGAATATCATCGCATGCATCAAATACATTTAACGATACCAAAATTGTACCAAAATATATCAAATATATCAAATTTAAATATTCTTGTATGGATAACGTACACTAAATCCGGTGGGTCTGCAATTGCACCAGGATCTAATGGCAATAATTGCACAAGTGTAGCAAATGTTGCGCTACAAACTAATCTAACAGATTGATTCTGATCACTCATACGTCCCAGTAAGGGTACCATAAAGAGTACTGCATACGGTACTACATGAACGCCTAAGCTCTCGACGATGCAAGTTAGAGCTTCCGCTGCTCCCTGACGTACTGAATCGACTTCGTTTGGTGCTACTATACCTGTGGAACATTTTTTCTCTCCGCCAGTTGTTTCCAACAGCGGTATAATATTGCGTATTATATGTATCATTGTCTGAAAAAAAAACTATTCTTAATCTTTTCTATGTTTATTATTATCGATATATATTTGATCAAACTTAAGTATTACCTTTTCTGTATTTAGAGTAGCTAATGTAGCTATGCACCGGGAAGCCATATGTCTAACAGCTTTGTAAGGATGCGCTAGCAGATTGCACAAACGTGGCAGACACTCCAATGCAGGCGGTAATAGAGATTTATCCAAACTTGGCGCCATAATCTCTAATACTTGTAAACCAAAGATCAATTGATTCCCTTCCTCTTCTTGTATATTATCTTGCTTGGTTACATCTTTCAATGTATTTGGTAAAATCAAATCCCATAATTGAGGTAAGCGATCAGGTAATTGAGCTCCGAAAAGAGTAGCTTCAAAAAATATAAACATTTTATATAAAGTATAATAGTATATATAAATAAATGCTATTATAGAATGTTCCCACATACAAAATACATAAGTAAATAATAAGAGATTTCATTCATTTTTTATTCATTTATTTTGTTTTTTTTTCTTTATCAAACCAGAGAGAATCGCAGATTAAGCTAAATGTCAATTAATTTTAAAATCTATAAATAAGAGAGATCCTCTTAAATATTACTGAAGATATATATGCTTGAGCATTATTTAAATATGTCCTAAAATATGTACCTATAGCTGTTAATGCTAACGTAGCACCACGACGGCGCGTTCTAGCAGCTTTGGCTTCTGGTTCGTCACAAGCGAGTAATTCCTCCAAAGGAATTTCGGTGGTTGGTGGCCTACCAGGGCCTCTGCCGCTACCAAGTCCACTACCTGTACCACGATTGTATGCTACTCTCTCAGCATGTTTTTGTCTATTATTTAAGGTAAGTATTCCATCAAAAATATCAGTGTCACCGGCGCAACATACCCGTGGTGTGAATTCAACATCGGAACATAGGAATGTACATAGATTGGTAGAAATCTGTAACAGATAATTGTATTGACGTTATAGAAAGGATGTTTATTAGTTCAAAAATATTTTATATTATATTCGTTTTTATTTTTTATCATTTTGTTTCTACTTCGTAAGCGAACCTTTGCGTTTGGAGATGGTTTCCTCTCGACACAAAGTTTAATCAGATGAGATAAATGTTTCGCAGCCAGTTTTTGCAATTCCTCATTTTCCTCGCGTTTTATAGCTTCCATTAGCGGTTTTACCAATGGATTAAGTGGTTGAGGAGACTGAGGAAGAATATTTAACATCGTAGCCGCGCCAGCGAGAGCGGCCGTCGACATAACATGTAATGACTGTTGTTGCGCCATCGTCGTAGCTGCGCCGACATCTAGCGCTCGTCTTCTTTCTTCTAAGCTTTCCATTAATTTAGGTTTTAATTTAACAGCTATTGAACCTCCGCTGACATTTCCAGTTCCACTTGCGTTTGCTCCCATAGTGCAAAGGGTTGGAATCGTTTTTCCCGCAAGTGCAGCGATTTGATCAAGAGTCATCACACCGGATGAATTTACTTCAACTGGTACCATTAATTTATAATGTTTTAAAGTTGCTATATAATCTCGACTTTCGTGCAGCAGTCGAGTAAAGGATGCCACAATCTCGTCGTAGTACATACATTCATTTAAACAACTCAATAATCTGTCACTTTAAAAAAAGAAACATTTCGTTAATATATGTACATACACATAATAAATTTTGGTTTCATAGATATTGTATATTACGTACCTGAGTATATCTGGTATCACGGGATTTTTCATAGGATCTACAGTCGCCCAATAGGACATCGTGAGACCCACGACGGTACGTTGTAGCGCCGATCGCGAATTAAGATGCGCCAATAACACCTTGGCATAACAAAGCGCTGGACTAGGCACATCTGGTGGATAAACAACACCCGGTGCAGGTTGCACGACATAGTGCGATAATAAACCTAACATACGAGACGCTCTACAACGAGCCTGTATTACGTTTGCCTTTCGTACATTCAGTGCAACCGTTTCGATTCCGCCGATGTACATTTTCAATTCAGATAACGACTTTGCATTCGCATTGATATTACTGTTCCCGCCGTTAGTGTCCGATTGTCCGTCACAGTACGCGACTGTTTGATTATTCTTCGTGCCCTTAATACTACTAGCAATTGTCAGTAATAAATTTGGATTGAATGGCACATGTTCCGGTTGCATAGCAAGGCAAAGCCATGTACTGACATGAGGGCACGCCGCATGTAGCAATAATTCGAGATCACTCTGTACGACTAGATTTTCCCAGACATGTTCAGCCACGTCTTGTATTACGTTAATATGTTCGATTAGCACGCACTGAAACACATGCCTCAATGCTTCTTGTAAAACTAATCCGCCACCCTCACCCCACCGCTCCTTCTTGTCCATACCGTGATCGCTGTCCTTTCCAGTTAAAGTTTGCATCGTTTGTAGTGTTGCTTTACGTACGCTCGAACTTGAATGGCTGAGAAAAAGCCATAAACGTGGTAATATCTAAACAAACCCAATCGTTATTAAAGTAAATTTAAACATTTTATAAAATGGTAGATATCGTTGCATTACCTGTGATAACGGTTGAGGTGTTAAGCAAGCATGTGCCTCTGGTAATGAAAGTATTGCGGCCAAGAGACCCATAAACGTATTGCAAGCCGCAGCCAGGTCATCTTGTTCTTTTAATAATTGCCAAAGACGTATTACAATAGCTTCTAGTTCTGTTGGTTTTAATAATCGTGGAAGAGCGTGTGCTACTGGTATAAGCGCACTCGCGGCGGCTGCGCCTACGTCGTCGACAGGATCGGATAATCCTTGCATAATAGCCGGAAATATTTTTGGCAATACCTCGTCCAACAGATCGTCTCGTACAGCCATTAAATATTTTAAAGCAAGAAACCCACCGTGTCTCGCTTCCCATTCATTATGTTCTAATAATTTAAGAACTACAGAAAGTATTCCAGGAAAAACATCATTTGTATCTTTGGCATTTGAACCAGCAGGCACTAATAGTAGAAGCGATCCTAACGCTTGAGCGCATGTTTCTCGTACTGGCGCCACAACTTGATCAGATACAAAATCTCCGAATCGATCAAGCCCTAGTACGCACAATAATTGTAAGGCAGCGTCAATCACCCATTCGTAATGGCTCTCTTGCATTTCTTCCAAAGTCTGATCCCTGGACTTGCCAGCACCTGTACATTTAAGAAAATTTAATATTATTCATGTATTAGAAACTATATATAAATATTTAAATCACCTTTTCCATGAAGTTTTATAAGTTCCCGTAAAGCTGTCGCTGCTCCATGACGCACTTCCCATTTTTGACTAAACAAATCCTGACAAAGACTTTCCGCAAAAGATTCCAAGGGCCAATTTACGATAGAATCTGGCCAACATCCAGTGCTATCTGGTACTCCACTTGCTTGTTCATTGGATATACCACATTTTGTACCATCTGATGAGATTGTATCCTCTAATATTATCTTTTTGACTGGTGGTTCACCAGTATTATTCATTGGAGATTGAACATTCATTGTATGGTCATCATTAATGCGATGTTCATCCGGCTCACGCGATCGTTGTTTTGTTACTGACTGACGTGCCTACATTAATAACATGTGAATTAATATACGTATTGTAAAACTTGCAAATATATAAAGCAATGCCGAATGTTTCTAAAAATTTCAATGTTTGCTTGTATAAATTAAAATGTAAAATAATGTATAACTAAAAATGATAATTTAAAGAAAATAAATGATTATAAATAAAAGCTTGAAAATAAATACTTTGCGTTTTGCTCTATTCATTTCTCTCCTGCTTAATCCTCCTGGCTGTTTCAAAGTTTCATCGACAGGTACAGTAACAGTTTGTGTCATACATTGTGTTTGTACTGGCGTAAGATCCTCAATGGTAAATAAATCAGAAGTATCGACACCCATCAAACGTGGATGGAAGCCCAGTTTTGCAACTAGTTTTTCTTGTTGGCTAGGAAGTGACAAATGCTCTCCCTCTGATATAGTTAGATCATATTCACTGCCCTCGGATCCAGTAAGATGTGAACTTCGAGCCAAAACTTTGCTCATATCAAAAGATTTTAAATTCAATCTGGTGGATGTTTTGTGTTTAATTTCCTCTGATTCATCTATTAATTCAAAATGCCATATATTAATTGGATTTTTGCAAAATTTTCAATCATTAGAAATATAAAGATTTATTTAATTATTAATGAAGTATTACTATTGTCTGTAGAGACTTCCTTCTTAATCGGCTGTGGATCCCAAGGTGGAACTTGGGCAAGTATAGCTTGTACAGCATGGGCTGCTGATACTCGAGTATCCCATTGTGGAGATTTTAACAAAGTAGAAACTCTTGCTAATAAATGATGCAAATCATGAGGATGTAATCTCTGTGCTTCTCCTAATTGTTGCGCAGCTGCCCTTTTGGTAACTGCATTTGTTCCAGTCTCTAGCAATATGAATAATCTGTCCAATCTAAAACATTAAAATAATATGGCATATATATATATATATAATGTAAATTACTGATAGAAATAAAAATCTTTTATATAAAAACATTTCTCTACAATGCTATCTTTACAAAGCTATTTTTTATACATTTTATGACTGATTTATATGATAAGATATAAATTATTAAAATATATGTTAAAATATATGTTAAAATATATGTTTATATATTCAAAGTATTTATATAAAATTTTATATGAGAAAAAGAAAGTATAATTTTATTACAAACTTACCTTGAGGTCATGGTGATTGATTATATTGCTGAACAAACTTGTAAATACCTTCAAATAATAATAAACAATTATTATCTTTATCTCTCTAGAAAAATTATCTTACAAAGAAGTTTTACAATGTTACAATGTTAATATTAATCAATTGAAGCGTAAATTAGTGCTAATGCTATCACAGCTAATTTTCAATGGATTCAAAAGAGCAAAAGACCATCGAATCTGCAATTCTTATGTGGACAAAACTGTATATTCAACTCTGTACGACACCGGGTAAACTCCCTTTTGACATTCTGGAGATCGCTATCACCGACCGGAAGAGTGGAATTGCAGTAATCAGATAAATGATTATCGGTGGTTGCGAACAGCGGGGACGCTTGTGTAGGGTCAGTCTGGAAAGACGGAGGAAAGGAGAAAGGAGATCGGGGTGGCGGTGACGAGACGAACGGCCTGGCGTGGACGCACTGGACATCGTGACGATGACAGCGGTGGCGGTGGCGGTGGCGGTGGCGGTGGCGGTGGCGGTGACGGTGACGGTGACGGTGGTGGCGGCGGCGGCGACGACGATGGCACCCCAACGTTATCCCTCATGCTCGCGCGAGCGATCGCGTCTCCCAAATGACTCGCGAGTGCCGGGGAATGCGGAGAAAACGGATAAAACCGCGGTGCGTCGATCCGAGCGCAATATGGACATAACGAAGCGGTCGATTCCCGGGGGAACGGTGCACAAACGAAGGAAGGAAGGAAGGTGAATCGCGCGTACCTGTTTTCTCGGAAAGCGTTCCGGCTGCCTCGCTCCAGTCTCAGCTGATCCACGATGCCATCTCCGCATTGGCGGACACGCGAAAGTCACATCACGCCGCGGGTAACGCGGAACCACGCTCACGCTTGTCAAATTTCTCGGAGAGAAACTCATGGTACAGGCATCAAATTTATACTGACAGCCATATTGCTGGGGAACCTGAGTTTTGTCCTCTGGTTTCGCTCCCATTGGCTCGCGGCGCGCATGTCACCCATTGGCTGACCAATCGCCGTTCACCCCGTTCAATAATCGTGCGAGGGCACGCGAGATTTCCGATACGCGAGAACCATTTTTGCACTGTGTGCGTGCGTCTGACGGGTCAGCGGCGACGCCGACGATGGACCCCGGATGGATCCTCGGATGATGTCGTTTATTTTTTCATCAAACTCGCTGTCACCTTGCAAATTTTTATCAATAAAATAATTCCAATTATAATTTAGTAATAATCAATTCTTTTAATATGTAATTAACGCGTTAAATTATTACCCATTTAATGATTTCGAAATTAATATAGAGATCTTTAGAAAGTAAAACAATTACGGTCTAGCTAATTTATGTTAATAGGTTAAATGGAATAACGGGTTAAATTTTCTTGGATTGCTGTTTCTGTTTTGCTCGATGTTAAAATAATTCACAAGGAAGTTGTATACAAAATATCTAAAAGAAATCTAATGAAAAGTATAGGAAAGAATATAAAATATGAAAGATTCTTTGATAATTCTTTGATAATCTTCTATTAATCAATATTTTGGTTAGCAATTTTTTATCAAATTTATCATTAAAATATTGCATTTTTTGATATCGTGCATTTTTGGTTTCTTTTAGAAATGAAACATACAATATATAGTATAAAAATCTAATGAAAAAAGAAAAACTTGAGAAAACATATATAAATATTAACGCAATAATAATTTACACAAGATTGTTTTATTAAGAATGTAAAAAAAGGAATATATATTTTAGCGTCGCCACTGGTTCGAGATGACCTCACAAGACGGCCGCTACTTTGACGCGTGCACAGCAATTATAAACTACTATGTTTTATCTCACTTCGTTTTTTTTTGTAGTCTGTATATACCTTGGACATGTCATATCTATTGCGTAAATGACGCATCTAAAGATACATATATATGCATTTTAAGCTCATTCGTGACACGTCACCTCATAATATGAATCATTTATTCTAACGCTCAAAATAGATATAATTTTTTAAGAAATTTAAGAATTTAAATATGATAGCACAATTTTCATTTTATTTTTATTTGCAAAAAGTATATTTATTGAAAATTTGAAGCCTGAAATTAAAAATTTTTGTATAAGTTGATTTTCATTATATACTGATTTAGTTATATAGATAAAAATATAATTAGATACTTTCTGTCAAATTATTTTTCTATTACATTTCATAATGGAACGTAAAAAAAATTTTAATTCTTTTCAAAAAGTCCATTTCTTTAGAACAGCTACATATTTTTATTATTTCGTTTTGTTTTATTTTTTATTATTTATAATTTACAAATTTGGATAATCTCCAAAATATGGGATTATCTTAATTAATCTGCGTTGCTAATTTACGATAATTTTAACATTTTATATTTTTATAAGAACTAATATAATCGATACAGATTATATTTTTTTCTGTGCATACTAAGAACATTTATTCAAACAAACAAATGAATATCTTTCATAAACAATTGATACATGAATTACTTTTATTCCAATCGTCTATGGAGGTATCTACAATACAGCACAATTAATGATATTTATAGCTCTTGTGATGACCTGAAATAAATTAATGTCATTAAATTTATTTATATTAAAAGCAGAATAATTAGTTATGTCTTTTTATACTCACGAAGCTTGTTATAATTTATAATATAAAACAGAATCATAGCAGAAATCGTTGCTTGGAAGAACGGAGCTATTCCAGTTCGTTTGGGCTGTACGTACTTATGTTGCCAACGCCAGAATGCTGCAAAACAAATAGAAAGATACTATATGGCAGAGGGTTTCTATACAAATTCTTTGGAATTATTGTTTCCTAGTTATGCAATTTTTTTGGCTAATAAAATGGCTTCTTTTTCGCAAGGCAAGTACCTCGTGAAAACAGTGCTACAAGCGTCCGTGGACTTTTTTGACGTCTTGAAAACCAGCTAGGAATTTCGCCGAGCTTCAAATCCAAGAACGGAGTATCGGCTATAGAAAAAAGAATGGATTATTACATAATATTAATTGTGTCCAAAAATACAGAAGTATATGTCAGATACGACAAAGCGGCCTCACCTTTTCCATAATAGCGTGCAGGATCATATGGTCCGTGTCTCGCAGGATCATATTCCGCAGGATAACCACCGAACTTTAGTTTAGGTTCCGCCATAGCGAAATATCGGATTTTTATATATAAATTCCGCGATGTTATCGAACGAAATACGAACGTGCAATGGCAGCCATAAAGTATAGGTTGAAGTATAGGTTCCTTATTTTAACGCTAGATAGCGTGTATATCCACGTTAGAGAGAGAGGATCCGTTATTGAAGCTTCTTTCTTTTTCTAAAATAGGAATCAGCTTATGGTACAATAGATAATAAATTGGGGATGCAGTGCAGGAAATCTCAACAATCGATAAGATGTATGTAAAGATAAGATGTATTTTATTGATACTTGGTAATCAACATAATTTTACGATTATGATGTTAAAAAAAATCTCAAACTGCTTGATAATAATAAGAATTAAAGCTCTTATAAATAAAGTATTAGAAAAATATTATAAGCTAAGAGGCAGTGAGTAATTACATTTCACAACTTTTTAAAATTTTATGCCCTATGTTAAAATTATGATAATTAAATTTCTCAAAAATTGGCAAAGTATAATATATCAGAATAATATCAGATAATGTAAATAATAGTATAAATAAAAATTTCAATTACTGCTCGAAACATTATTATGATTTCAAAAATTTTATTTATTGCATATTTTCTTTTGTATTTACATTAGAATGAGGCAAGATATAATCACCATACTAATCTGGTGCGCGCGCGCGTACACACACACACACACACACACACACACACACACACACACACACATCACACA